CCTGGAAGATAAAATAGTGGAAATAACTACTGCAGAGCAGAATAAAGAAAAAAGAATGAAAAGAACTGAGGACAGTCTCAGAGACCTCTGGGACAACATTAAACGCACCAACATTCGAATTATAGGGGTTCCAGAAGAAGAAGAGAAAAAGAAAGGGACTGAGAAAATATTTGAAGAGATTATAGTTGAAAACTTCCCTAATATGGGAAAGGAAATAGTTAATCAAGTCCAGGAAGCACAGAGAGTCCCGTACAGGATAAATCCAAGGAGAAATACGCCAAGACACATATTAATCAAACTGTCAAAAATTAAATACAAAGAAAACATATTAAAAGCAGCAAGGGAAAAACAACAAATAACACATAGGGAATCCCCGTAAGGTTAACAGCTGATCTTTCAGCAGAAACTCTGCAAGCCAGAAGGGAGTGGCAGGACATATTGAAAGTGATGAAGGAGAAAAACCTGCAACCAAGATTACTCTACCCAGCAAGGATCTCATTCAGATTTGATGGAGAAATTAAAACCTTTACAGACAAGCAAAAGCTGAGAGAGTTCAGCACCACCAAACCACAACTACAACAACTGCTAAAGGAACTTCTCTAGGCAAAAAACACAAAAGAAGGAAAAGACCTACAATAACAAACCCAAAACAATTAAGAAAATGGGAGTGGGAACACACATATCGATAATTACCTTAAATGTAAATGGACTAAATGCTCCCACCAAAAGACACAGATTGGCCGAATGGATGCAAAAACAAGACGCATATATTTGCTGTCTACAAGAGACCCACTTCAGACCTAGAGACACATACAGACTGAAAGTAAGGGGATGGAAAAAGGTATTTCATGCAAATGGAAACCAAAAGAAAGCTGGAGTAGCAATTCTCATATCAGACAAAATAGACTTTAAAACAAAGACTATTAGAAGAGACAACGAAGGACACTACATAATGATCAAGGGATAGATCCAAGAAGAAGATATAACAATTGTAAATATTTATGCACCCAACATAGGAGCACCTCAATACATAAGGCAAATACTGACAGCCATAAAAGGGGAAATCGACAGTAACACATTCATAGTAGGGGACTTTAACACCCCACTTTCACCAATGGACAGATCATCCAAAATGAAAATAAATAAGGAAACACAAGCTTTAAATGATACATTAAACGAGATGGACTTAATTGATATTTATAGGACATTCCATCCAAAAACAACAGAATACACATTTTTCTCAAGTGCTCATGGAACATTCTCTAGGATAGATCATATCTTGGGTCACAAATCAAGCCTTGGTAAATTTAATAAAATTGAAATTGTATCAAGTATCTTTTCCGACCACAACGCTATGAGACTAGATATCAATTACAGGAAAAGATCTGTAAAAAATACAAACACATGGAGGCTAAACAATACACTACTTAATAACGAAGTGATCACTGAAGAAATCAAAGAGGAAATCAAAAAAAACCTAGAAACAAATGACAATGGAGACACGACGACCCAAAATCTATGGGATGCAGCAAAAGCATATCTAAGAGGGAAGTTTATAGCAATACAATCCTACCTTAAGAAGCAGGAAACATCTCGAATAAACAACCTAACCTTGCAACTAAAGCAATTAGAGAAAGAAGAACAAAAAAAACCCCAAAGTTAGCAGAAGGAAAGAAATCATAAAAATCAGATCTGAAATAAATGAAAAAGAAATGAAGGAAACGATAGCAAAGATCAATAAAACTAAAAGCTGGTTCTTTGAAAGGATAAACAAAATTGATAAACCATTAGCCAGACTCATCAAGAAAAAAAGGGAGAAGACTCAAATCAATAGAATTAGAAATGAAAAAGGAGAAGTAACAACTGACACTGCAGAAATACAAAAGATCATGAGAGATTACTACAAGCAACTCTATGCCAATAAAATGGACAACCTGGAAGAAATGGACAAATTCTTAGAAAGGCACAACCTGCCAAGACTGAATCAGGAAGAAATAGAAAATATGAACAGACCAGTCACAAGTAATGAAATTGAAACTGTGATTAAAAATCTTCCAACAAACAAAAGCCCAGGACCAGATGGCTTCACAGGCGAATTCTATCAAACATTTAGAGAAGAGCTATCACCTATTCTTCTCAAACTCTTCCAAAATATAGCAGAGGGAGGAACACTCCCAAACTCATTCTATGAGGCCACCATCACCCTGATACCAAAACCAGACAAGGATGTCACAAAGAAAGAAAACTACAGGCCAATATCACTGATGAACATAGATGCAAAAATCCTCAACAAAATACTAGCAAACAGAATCCAACAGCACATTAAACGGATCATACACCATGATCAAGTGGGGTTTATTCCAGGAATGCAAGGATTCTTCAATATACGCAAATCAATCAACGTGATACACCATATTAACAAATTGAAGGAGAAAAACCATATGATCATCTCAATAGATGCAGAGAAAGCTTTTGACAAAATTCAACACCCATTTATGATAAAAACCCTGCAGAAAGTAGGCATAGAGGGAACTTTCCTCAACATAATAAAGGCCATATATGACAAACCCACAGCCAACATCGTCCTCAATGGTGAAAAACTGAAAGCATTTCCACTAAGATCAGGAACAAGACAAGGCTGCCCACTCTCACCACTCTTATTCAACATAGTTTTGGAAGTTTTAGCCACAGCAATCAGAGAAGAAAAGGAAATAAAAGGAATCCAAATCAGAAAAGAAGAAGTAAAGCTGTCACTCTTTGCAGATGACATGATCCTATACATAGAGAATCCTAAAGATGCTACCAGAAAACTACTAGAGCTAATCAATGAATTTGGTAAAGTAGCAGGATACAAAATTAATGCACAGAAATCTCTGGCATTCCTATACACTAAGGATGAAAAATCTGAAAGTGAAATCAAGAAAACACTCCCATTTACCATTGCAACAAAAAGAATAAAATATCTAGGAATAAACCTACCTAAGGAGACAAAAGACCTGTATGCAGAAAATTATAAGACACTGATGAAAGAAATTAAAGATGATACAAATAGATGGATAGATATACCATGTTCTTGGATTGGAAGAATCAACATTGTGAAAATGACTCTACTACCCGAAGCAATCTACAGATTCAATGCAATCCCTATCAAACTACCACTGGCATTTTTCACAGAACTAGAACAAAAAATTTCACAATTTGTATGGAAACACAAAAGACCCTGAATAGCCAAAGCAATCTTGAGAACGAAAAACAGAGCTGGAGGAATCAGGCTTCCTGATTTCAGACTATACTACAAAGCTACAGTTATCAAGACAGTATGGTACTGGCACAAAAACAGAAATATAGATCAATGGAACAGGATAGAAAGTCCAGAGATAAACCCACGCACATATGGTCACCTTATCTTTGACAAAGGAGGCAGGAATGTACAGTGGAGAAAGGACAGCCTCTTCAATAAGTGGTGCTGGGAAAACTGGACAGCTACATGTAAAAGTATGAGATTAGATCACTCCCTAACACCATACACAAAAATAAGCTCAAATTGGATTAAAGACCTAAATGTAAGGCCAGAAACTATCAAACTCTTAGAGGAAAACATAGGCAGAACACTCTATGAAATAAATCACAGCAAGGTCCTTTTTGACCCACCTCCTAGAGAAATGGAAATAAAAACAAAAGTAAACAAATGGGACCTAATGAAACTTAAAAGCTTTTGCGCAGCAAAGGAAACCATAAAGAAGACCAAAAGACAACCCTCAGAATGGGAGAAAATATTTGCAAATGAAGCAACTGACAAAGGATTAATCTCCGAAATTTATAAGCAGCTCATGCAGCTTAATAACAAAAAAACAAACAACCCAATCCAAAAATGGGCAGAAGACCTAAATAGACATTTCTCCAAAGATATACAGAGTGCCAACAAACACATGAAAGGATGCTCAACATCACTAATCATTAGAGAAATGCAAATCAAAACTACAATGAGATATCATCTCACACCAGTCAGAATGGCCATCATCGAAAAATCTAGAAACAATAAATGCTGGAGAGGGTGTGGAGAAAAGGGAACCCTCTTACACTGTTGGTGGGAATGTAAATTGATACAGCCACTGTGGAGAACAGTATGGAGGTTCCTTAAGAAACTACAAATAGAACTACCATATGACCCTGCAATCCCTCTACTGGGCATATACCCTGAGAAAACCATAATTCAAAAAGAGTCATGTACCAAAATGTTCATTGCAGCTCTATTTACAATAGCCCAGAGATGGAAACAACCTAAGTGTCCATCATCGGATGAATGGATAAAGAAGATGTGGCACAGATATACGATGAAATATTAGTCAGCCATAAAAAGAAACGAAATTGAGCTATTTGTAATGAGGTGGATAGACCTAGAGTCTGTCATACAGAGTGAAGTAAGTCAGAAAGAGAGAGACAAATACCGTATGCTAACACATATATATGGAATTTAAGAAAATAATGTCATGAAAAACCTAGGGGTGAAACAGGAATAAAGACACAGACTTACTAGAGAATGGACTTGAGGCTATGGGGAGGGGGAAGGGTAAACGGTGACAAAGCGAGAGAGAGGCATGGACATATATACACTACCAAACGTAAGGTAGATAGCTAGTGGGAAGCAGCTGCATAGCACAGGGAGATCAGCTCGGTGCTTTGTGACCGCCTGGAGGGCTGGGATAGGGAGGGTGGGAGGGAGGGAGATGCAAGCGGGAAGAGATATGGGAACATATGTATATATATAAAACTGATTCATTTTGTTGTGAAGCTGAAACTAACATACCATTGTAAAGCAATTATACTCCAATAAAGATGTTAAAATGAAAAAAAAAGTACTAATAACAGTTCTCATAAGAGAACCCCTTTGTATATGATAACAAACTCAATTACTGAAATCCAATAACTCAGTAAAAGAAATAGATTTTAAAAGTATTAATGAGTATACAAACATAAAGGTGACTTTTTACAATACTTACTTTAATTTCTGGTTGAAGCCAACTCTGTGTCTTTGTGTCAAATATGTGAACATCATTATGCCATCCCCAGAATATCTGCTCTTCCTAAAAAAGAGATTTTAAAAATATTTTTAAAAGCTTTTATAATTTTTAGATTAGTATTATAGTTTCACTGCATATTTACTGGTGAAATAATAGGCACTTTTACAGAAATAGAGTTAAGTGTGACCATAGTCATAAAGCTAACGCATACACCAGTGTAACCACAGTCGTAAAGCTAACGCATATACCAGTGGCTCACAAAGTGTGGTCCCTAAGCCATAGCAGCATCACCTGGCAACTTTCCTTCTCGTAGTATTGCTTGCATGAGTCATAACTTTGCTTGTTGACAATTTTCCACTTCTCTCAAAGGAATATCTCTTTTAAAATTTCAGAGAACAGAATGATATTTACATTTGGAAATCTCTTTTCCTAAAGTACAGGTTCAGAATTCCTAATCATTGCTGTTAGAAACTTTAGGGAACAATGATTCCTTTTTCCAAAAAATTCCAATCAATTCTAGTTAACCAAGCACCTTGTTCTTATGCATCAAACTTATGCTCACTCTCTTGCCTTCTAGGAAGACGAAACTATTGGCAAGGCAAAGATTTAGCAGTTAGACTGTATTTAGCATCTTCTGCATTGCTGAAATCCTCTACCACTATTCTAGCTTACCTCTGTACCAGTTTTATGTTATATGTCAGGAATATATCATTCATTTTTGTCAGGACTTGTCAAACAAGCCAAATAAACTACATAATTTACTTAGTTTAGAATCTAAATGAAAAAATCTACCTGTACACCATAAACTTTAGGACATGATCATAGCCTAACTGTACTAGAGGAGAAAAAAATGAGAGATTTCACTGATGAGTAGACATAATTAATGGGAAGTTATATTACTAAAAATTATCAGTAATACTGTAAGTAGCAAAACTTTAAAGATATTTCATTTTAAAAACTCAAAAACCATGTAAACCATTTTTAACACTTAAAAACCATTCAGTTTTATTAATTAGCATGTATTAATTTCACACATAGTCTAAATAAAGACTATGGAGAATTTTTAAATACCTATATACAAAGAGATATACATGAACTGTATATATACCTTTACATTAATAATGTATAATAATAATACATTCTACTAGAAGGTAAAACTGTGTATCTTGGTGGTGAGATCAATGGTTTTTAAAGTTATCTTTTAAAAGATTTCATTTTTATAAGTCATGAGTTCTTTCCTTAATAATAATTTATTCTCTAACCAGTAAGAATAAATAGAAAAAGTAATATGACTACCAACTTACTCACTCTCATACAGAAGCCAGACTGAGCTATGAATAGTTCTGGTGGACGTACCTAAAAGGAGGTGTATGTCAGCAACAGCCACTGCGGTTACCTAAGAACAAAGTTTTTCCAAGTTGTGCTAAAGCCACTAGTTTTCTAACAGAAGCAGCTATAAGTGATTAATGGCATCAGAAAAGACATTACTCTGCCAGTAGCCATGAAGGCTGATATAATTAGGTAAGAGAACTTCCTGCAACTGAATCCAAATTCAAAAGAGAGAAAATACAATTTTTTTCATAATATCAATTACAGCAAATTAAAATGAGAAAAACTGCATTCTTTATTTCTGAAGACTGTAACGTGACAGTAACTTAGAGGAAAATGTAAACAGGGATTACTCTCTTACCCAAGACGCATCATGAACATCAAAACAATCTTGGAGTTCATTGTGTCTCCTACACCCATAGCCACCAAAATATATTAATCTGAAAAACAAAACAAAGCACACACTTTAGGAGTTCTACTTTCAGTCTGTTCACAGAAAGTTGGAAGACATCATTTCTGTCACAACCTAAACAAGCCATATAAACTACAAAACCATTGTTTAAAAAAAAAAAATCAAAGAGCTATGGGAGCAAAGAGACCTAAATGAACTAATTCCAGAAAGTGATAAGCTCGCAGTAGGAGAGAAGAGGCCCATGGCTGCTTTCATACCTGATGTAACAGCAGGAGGAGAAAGAATCCAGCACAGATTGGGTTTGTAAAAGGAGCCACCCAAAATTTTAACAGTCACATGTAGGCTGGCATAGCAAATTAGAATCTTAAGAAACTCAGCCACAGAGGGAGCTTGAACCTACTGAACAACTTTTTCACATAGGCTTTAGGGAGGGCTCAGGGTCAGTCACCAACAGCTGGAAGCAGAGAAGAGCTGAGCAACTCTCCTTGAGGCAATCTGAGCTATCAACTCTAAAGTTTGGGATCTGGGCAGGAGATATGACAGAAACACCTCAGAGGCATGCCAAGCCGTTATAGCATACAGGGTGGCTGCCCTCAAAAGGCCAGGGGGGGAGGGGCAGTGCTGAAAGAGATCTCTCAAGGTACAGAAAGTATAAAGTGGGATTGGAGAGCAAAGAGAACTCCCTAGCAACACAAGTAGGCTATGAAACAAGGAGAGATCTCCCACAGTTCTGAGAAGTAGGTACTCAGCTGTGAAGCACTGTTCAAAATCTCTAGACACTCTCTAGTGCTCAAACATGGGACTGTAGCAAAGGAAAGTCTTGGTCCTGCATGAGAACATTTGAAGACAGTGGTTAAACTGAATCAAACTAAAGCTGCAACAAAGCCCAGACACAGATCAACTATAGATTAGACTAACTTAAATCCCACTCTAGCAACCTGAAAAAGGAAAAAAAGGGCATGTCCTTTTCTGGAAAGAAATATTGTTTATTCCCAACTTTACTGTTCTTTCATACAGAATGTCTGTCAAATGATGAAGAAATTACAAGGTATAAGAAAAGGCAAAAAAAGTGACCCATGATCAAGAGAGGAAAGAGTCAATATAAGCTGACTCCAAGGTGGCCCAGATATTAGAATTATTAGACACAGCCTTTAAAATAACTATGGTAGAAATAGTAACAAACCAGTCTGTAAAAGGTGGACAATGTGCAGGAAGAACTAGGTAATTTTGGCAGAGACATGGAACCATGAAAAAGAGTGAAATGAAAATGCAAAAAATTGGAAAATAAGATGTCAGAAATAAAGAAATTCATTACATAGTCATAACAGGAAACTGGACATAGCAATGGAAAAGATCAGTGAACTTGAAGATAAGTCAACTGGTAAAAAAAAGTATCCAAATTAAAACAAAGAGAATGAAAGAGTCGGGGGCGGGGTAGGGAGCCCAAGCTCTGTATAACAATATCATATGATCTAATGTGCATATAATAAGAGTCCCAGAAGGAAAAGAGACAAATAAATGGGTAGAAGAAATATTTGTTAATTAATAAGAACTTCATAAAACTGATGAAAGATATATATCCACCAACCCCAGAAGCTCAGCACACTCCAAGCTGCATAAATACAAATAAGTGAATTTCTCACCAGAAAAATGGAGGCCAAAAGGCAATGTAATAAAGTCATTAAAGTGCTGAAAGAAAGAAAAAAATCTGTCAACCCAGTGAGTGAAAAACATCACAAGGGAAATTAGAAATTACCTTGAAATGACTGAAAATGCAAACAGAATAAAACAAAACTTATGGAATACTGTGAAGGTGGTGCTCAGAGGGAATCTTATAGCTATAAATGCCCACAAATTTAAAAAGAAAGATCTCATATCAATAATATAACCATACACATCAAGGAACTAGAAAGAGAAGCAAACTAAACCCAGAGATAACAGAAGGAAATAATAAAAATTAAAGGGGAAATAAGCAAAATGGTGAATAGAAAAACAATAGAGAGAAACAACAAAACCAAAAGTTGGGTCTTTGAAAATATCAACAAAATTGACAAACCTTTAGCTAGGTTGACTAAAACAAAAGTAGAGAAAACTCAAATTACTAAAATTAGGAGTGACAGAGGGGACATTGAAACTAGAGACTAGTTTCAACTAGAGAAAGCCTGCACGCAGCAACGAAGACCCAACACAGCCAAAAATAACAGACAGAAATAAAAAGTATCATAAGAGAATACCAAAAAACTGCATACCAACAGACTGTATAAACTAGATGAAATAGAAAAATTCCTGGAAAGACACACACTTCCAAAAGGGGCTCATGAAGAAATAAAAAATCTGAATAAACATATAATAAGTAAAGAGACTGAATCAGTAATCCTAAAACCTCCCAACAAGGAAAAGCCCAGGACCAGATGGCTTCAGTGGTGAATTCTATCAAATATTTCAAGAAGAATTAATACCAACCCTTCTCAAACATTTAAAAATACTGAGAAGGAGGGAACACTTCCTAACTCATTCAATGAGACCAGCATTATCCTGAAACTGAAGCCAGACAAAAACACAACAAGAAAACTGCATATATCTGATAAGGGTTTACTATCCAGAATATGTAAAGAATTCCTACAACTCAATAACAAAAAGATAAAACAATCCAATTTTTAAAAAATGGGCAAAGGACTAGAATAGATATTTCTCCAAAGAAGACATACAAATGGCCAACAAGCCCAGGAAAAGATGGTCAACATCATTAGTCATTGGGGAAACACAAATCAAAACCACAATGGTGGCAGGGGCTGGGGGCGTCCCTCCTCCCACCTGAGGCTTCAGGCTGACGCTGGGGGTGGGGCCTCTACAGCACAACAGTGTACGTAGCGTAGAAACGCTGACAGATGTAGGGTGGCTGGGCCTCTGCAGCCGGGGGCTCCTGCCCTGGCCGTGTGCAGACGGGGGTGGGGTGGGGGGCGGCAGCAGGCTCCCTCCTGCTGGAGGCGGGGCTCGGACTCGGCTCCCCCAAGTTCCCCTTCTCTGTGAAAGTGAAGAATTGGTCTCGCTGTGTTTTTTAAAACCACACCTCTCCCATGTCCACCCTGGGGCCACGCCAGGTGGGGGAGGAGCCGCCGCACTGCAGGTGCAGGGCCGAGCTGTGTCCCCTGTCCGCCCGTCTCTATTAAAGGACTCCCTCGTGGTGGGAAAAAAAAAAAACCCACAATGGATATCACTTCACACCCATTACAATGGCAATTATAAAACAAACAAAAAACAAAAGAAAATAGCAAGAGTTGGTGAGAATGTAGAAAATTGGAACCTTTATAGTGGGAATATAACATGGCATTGTTACTGTGGAAAACAGTTTGGTTCTCCTCAAAATGTTGAACGTAGGGGCTTCCCTGGTGGTGCAGTGGTTAAGAATCCACCTGCCAATGCAGGGGACACAGGCTCAAGCCCTGGTCCAGGAAGATCCCACATGCGTCAGAGCAACTAAGCCCGTGCGCCACAACTACTGAGCCTGCGCTTTAGAGCCCATGAGCCACAACTACTGAAGCCCACGCGCCTAGAGCCTGTGCTCCACAACAAGAGAAGCCACCACAACAAGAACCCCATGCACCACAACGAAGAGTAGCCCCCGCTCGCCACAACTAGAGAAAGCCCGCACACAGCAACGAAGACCCAACACAGCCAAAAATAAATAAATAAAAAATAAATTAAATTAACTTAAAAAAAATGTTGACCATAGAATTATCATATGATCCACCTAAAAGAATTAGAAAAAGAAGAACAAACAAGGCCCAAAGTCAGCAGAAGGAAAGAAATAACAAAGATCAGAGAAGAAATAAATAAAATAGAGATTTAAAAAACTAATAGAAAAGATCAATGAAAATAAGAGCTGGTTCTTTGTAAAGATACACAAAATTGAAAAATTTTTAGTCAGACTCATCAATAAAGAAAGAGAGAAGACCCAAATAAATAAAATCAGAAATAAAAGAGAAGTTACAACCAATACCACAGAAATACAAATCATAAGAGATTACTATGAACAATTATAAGCCAAAAAAATGAACAACCTAGAACTGGATAAACTCCTACAAACATACAATCTCCCAAGACTGAATGAGGAAGAAATAGAAAATCTGAACAGACTGACTACTAGCAATAAAATTGATCAGTAATCAAAAATACTCCCAAAAAACAAAAGTCCAGGACCAGATGGCTTCACAAATGAATTCTATCATACCTTCAAAGAAGATTTAACTCCTATCCTTCTCAAACTATTCCAAAAAATTGAAGAGGAGAGAAAGTTTCCAAACCCATTCTACAAGGCCAGCATTACCTTGATACCAAAGTCAGAAAAAGACACTACAAAAAAAGAAACTTACAGGCTAATATCCCTGGTGAACATAGATACACAAATCTTCAACAAAACACTAGCAAACTGAATTCAACAATACGTTAAAAGGATCATACACAGTGATCAAGTGGGATTTATCCCAGGAATGCAAGAATGGTTCAGTATCCACAAATCAATCAACATGACACACCACACTAACAAAATGAAGGATAAAAATCATGCAATCAACTCAAGAGCTACAGAAAAAGCATTTGACAAAATCCAACATCGATTCATGACAAAAACTCTCAACAAAGTGGGTAGAGAAGGAACACACATCAACAATAAAGGCCATTTTTGACAAACACACAGCAAACATCATAGTCAATGGTGAAAAGCTGAAAGCATTTCCTCTAAGATCAGGAACAATACAAGGATGCCCCCTTTTTTACTTAACATAATATTGGAAATCCTAGCCACAGCAATCAGAGAAGAAAAAGAAATAAAAAGCATCCAAATTGGAAGGGAAGGAATAAAACTGTCACTATTTGCAGATGACATGATTGTATATATAGAATACTCTAAAGAGTCCACCAAAAAACTATAAAAACTAATAAATGAATTCAATAAAGTTACAGGACACAAAATTAATAGACATAAATCGGTTGCATTTCTATACACTAATAATGAACTATCAGAGACAGAAATCAAGAAAATAATTCCATTTACAATTGCATCAAAACGAATAAAATACCTAGGAATAAATTTAACCAAAAAGGTGAAAGACCTGTACTCTGAAAACTATAAGGCACTGATGAAAGATATTGACAATGACATGAATAAGTGGAAAGATATTTCATGTTCATGGATTGGAAGAATTAATATTGTTAAAATGTTCATACTACCCAAAGCAATCTACAGATTCAATGCAATCCTTATCAAAATACTGATGGCATTTTTTTCACAGAGCTAGAATAATCCTAAAATTTTTATGGAACCACAAAAGACTCCAAATAGCCAAAATAATCTTGAGAAAGAAGAACAAAGCTAAATGTATCATGGTCCCTGGTTTCAAACTATACTACAAAGCTACAGTTATAAAAACAGTAAGGTACTGGTACAAAAATAGACACATAGATCAATGAAACAGAAGAGACAGCCCAGAAGTAAACCCATGCACGTATGCTCAGTTAATCTACAACATAAGAATATACAACAGAGAAAAGACAGTCTCTTCAATAAGTGATGTTGGGAAAACTTACAGCTACTTATAAAAGAATGAAAGTAGACCATTTTCTCATACTATATACAAAAATAAACTCAAAATGCATTAAAGACTTAAGCATAAGACTTGATACTATAAAACCCTTAGAAGAAAACTTAGGCAGTACACTCTTTGAAATCAGCCTTAGCAATATTTTTTTGGATCTGTCTCCTCTGGCAAGGGCAACAAAAGCAAAAATAAGCAAATGGGACCACAACAAACTAAAAAGCTTTTGCACAGCAAAAGAAACCATCAATAAAACAAAAAGGCAACCTACTTAATGGAAGAAGATATTTGCAAATGATATGTCCACTAGGGGCTAATATATAAAATATATAAAGAACTCAAACAACTCAGCATCAGTTAAAAAAAAACAACCCAGTTAAAAAATGGGGAAAAGACCTAAATAGCCATTTTTCCAAAGAACACATACAGATGTCCAACAGGCACATGAAAAGATGCTCAGTATCACTAATTGTCAGGGAAATGCAAACCCAAACCACAATGAGATGTCACCTTATACCTGTCAGAATGGCTATTATCAAAAGGACAAGAAATAACATGTGTTGGCACAGATGTGGAGAAAAGGAAACCTTCATGCATTGTTGGTGGGAATGTAAATTGATACAACCACTATAGAAAACAGTATGAAGGTTCCTCAAAAAATTAAAAATAGAACTACCAGACTATCCAGCAATGCCACTCCTATTTAACCAAATAAAATGAAAACACTTATTCAAAAAGATACATACACCCAATGTTCATTGCAGCATTATTTACAATAGCCAAGATATGGAAGCAACCTGTGTCCATCAACAGATGAATGAATAAAGAAGATGTGGTGTGTATGTATGTACACACACACACACACACACACACACACAAACAAAGAAATATTACTCAGCCATAAAAAGGAATGAAATTTTGCCATTTGTGATAACATGCATGGACTCAGAGGATATTATGCTAAGTGAAATAAATCAGAGAAAAACAAATACTGCATGTTTTCACTTATGTGTAGAATGTAAAAATCAAAACAAAGAACAAATATGAAAAAACAGATACAGAGAACGAACTAGTGGTTGCTAGAGGGGAAGGGTGGGGGATGGGTGAAATAGTGAAGGGATGAAGAGGTACAAACCACCATTTATAAAATTTAAAAACTAAATAATAAAAGATAAACTTGGATTCATATCTCATACCATTCACAGGTTTTTACTGGTTCTTTTTTTTTTTTGGCTGTGCCACACGGTTTGCAGGATCTTAGTTCCCCAACCAGGGATCAAACCCATGCCCTCAGCAGTGACAGTGTGGAGTCCTAACCACTGGACCTCCAGGGAATCCCTCCCATGTTTTTAAAAATAACAAAAGTACTAGAGGAAAATATGTGAGAATTAGTTTATAATCTTAGAGTGGAAAAAACCTTTGCATTGACTCAAAGTCAAGAAGCCAGAAAAGAAATTATTGATAAATTTACCTAAATAACAGCTTTAAGAAGCTGTTTAATACATGCAAAACACACTTTATGCAAAGTCAAAAGATAAATGACAACCTGGAAAAAATATTTTCATATGTCACAGTCAAACACTAATCTCTTTATAAATAAATAACTCCTAGAAGTCAAGATTATAAATGCCAACAATCAAATAAAAAATAATTAGCAAAGGATTTATTTTTCAGTTCAGAGAAAAAGAAATAAAAATTGCCCTTAAATATATGAAAATTAAAATAAGACTGAGGCATCACATCTCACCTATCAATTTGGCCCAAAACATCTAAGTTTGCCTGCAAATTCTTGGCAAGGCTGTGGACAAAGAGGCACTCCATTACTGACAACACAAAACAGCACAACTTTATTGGAGAAAAAGCTGGCAAAATCCAATGTTATGGATTGAATTGTGTCCCCCACAAAATTCATATATAGAAGTCCTAATCCCCTGTATTTAGAATGTGACATTATTGGCTACTCAAAGCAGAGTACTAATGGTTATCAATTTGTAGGATCAGAGAAATCAACAACAGCATAATCATAGTTGGTTTCTATTTAAATCTGATTAATCCACAATTCAAAGGTTTAAGATTTTCCTTTCCAAATTCTCATATTCTAGAGAGTATTTTGATCTATGTACCTTTTCATGACCAAGATAATCTTATTTCTTACCCTGTGGAATTCTGATATGCTTTTTGAGAATTATAAAATATTTTGTCAAATTTTAATGTCTGCCTTTTGTATTCAAAATATAAATGTGTATTATTTAAACTGATTGTCTTTTAAAACTTAACACCCTCCATCTTAATTATTATAAGTGCCCCCTGCAGTTTAAAGAGATTTTTAAAAATAAACTGAATATTGAATAAAGCAGAGTAGGAATTACTGCAATTAAGAAGGCAAAACAATTATATTTTCTAGAAATAAAAACATAAGAATAATAAAAAAAGAATGTGACCTTATTTAGAGACAAGGTCCTTATAGAGGCAATCAAGTTAAAATGAAGTCATGAGGGTAGGTCCTAATCCAATATGACTGGTATTCTTACAAAAAGGGAAAATTTGGAGACAGACAAGCACACAGAGAGAATGCTATGTGACTATGAAGGCAGAGATCAGAGTGTTGCTTCAACACACCAAAGGTTGCCAACAAATCACCAGAAGCTGGGGACAGGCATAAAACAGATTCTTTCTCAAAACCAAGAGAATGAACCAACCCTGCTGACACCTTGATCTCAGACTTCTAGCCTCCAGAACTATGAGACAATACATTTCTGTTGTTTAAATTATTCAGTTTATAGAACTCTGTTACAGCAACCCTATCAAAATAAACATTTATCACAATTACGAATGTATTACCCTTTGACCAGAAATCAAATTCTGGAATTTTATCCAACAAATAGATCTGCAATCATATGTATATATACACAAAGATATTCATTTAATCTAAGTGTTGTGCCATCTATATGGGAAAGGTTAAATAAACTTGGTATATCCACACAGGAGAATACTATGCAGCTGTAAAAACAAAAACAAAATCAAGCTTTCTAACTAGAGATACAGAAAGATGAAAGTTCCCCATGGTATACTGTTGACCAAAAAGAAGTCCAGTGGTTAAGACACCGCACTTCCAATGCAGGGCGTGTGGGTTAGATCCCTGGTCGGGGAACTACAATTCCCATATGCCGTGTGGCATGGCCCCCTCAAAAAAAAAAAAAGGAAGCAGCAGGGTGCAGAATAGTGTACGGAGTACACTGATATTTGTGTAAGGAGGAGGAAGAGAAGAACACGTACCTATGCATTTGCTTCTACCTGCATAAAGTCACAGGGATCGCAGTTGTTCCCAAACTTGCCTGCACTTGGAATCACCTGAGGAGCTTAAAAAAATCATACCCCCAGTGATTGTAATTTGATTAGTTCTGGGGTATCACCTGGGCTTCAGAGCTTTTAAAAGATCCCCAGATTATTTCTATGGCAGACAAGTTTGAGAACCACTGCTATAAAAATACAAAAGATATTAATAAAAGTAGCTAATTGTGTATGTGGAGGGTGGGAACAGGATGGATGGGGACAGGAGTGGGAGCCAGACTTTTCATTGTATCCTTTTTAATATGGTTTTGATTTTTGAACGATGTAACTGTATTAACGATTCAGAAAATTTTAAAGTAACAAATTTTTAAAAACCAAATAGCTGCTTCCACCATGTTTACTCTTATGACCTGGCTCTTATCCAGGGTTCAAAACTGCCTTTAACATCAGTGTCAAAACAAGTTTGTAACTATCTTGAAAAAAATTTCAGACTTTCAAGTTTTCTCTATTTTGGTCACAAGCTGTAATCCTTACTTGAGTGCAGTTAATGAGATGGCCTTGCTGCATTACCTGTCTTTATATACCCAGCAGGAAAGTTTATCACGTGGTGTGGGTGGTTGACCTTCAAAGTTGGTGATTTTTTCCCAAACATAGGTTCCATCTCTTGTTCGCAAATTAACAAAATAAAGCTTTTAAAAGAGGAGAACACCATTAGCAGACAAGACATTGGAAAATTAAATATATGTCACAGGGATATGTGATCCAAAATTAATAATATTACTTTCTGATTTTTAAAAGGTAAAAATTTGAATTGTAGAGTTAATGAAAATGGGACTATGTTTTAGAAGCAAAAATGATAATATGAAAAATACTGAAATGGATCTTTTCCCATCATGCTCTTGCCCTATGAATATCAACTAAGTACGTAGTTAATTCTGAAGTAGAAAGACATGGCAGAAGAGAGGAGCACGATGCTGCATTTTCACCCTATCTTTAAAACCTTATCATCATAAGCTCAAGCTTTTCTACATATGTCTTCTTTGTAAAATACATTCGTAAACTTGTGAGATGAAGTGACACATTAAACATTACATTTTTCTGCGCTCCTGAATTGAAAAAAGAAATTACTCGATTGCTGTATCCTTTGTCATCATATCCTCCAAAAACGTATAGCTTTCCATTAAGGCAAGCACCGCAACTTCCTGACATGGAGGTAGGGAGTTCTCCTTCCATGAGGTGCATCGTCCTGCAGCAAGAATAACGTGGAATTCCATAACTTTCCAGAAAAGCAAATTAAAATTCCCTTTGAATTCCATGAGTACTTTTTCAATGAAAACTGTCACTGACAATTACAATTAAGATGTAATGGTAGCCAATACTGTAAAACCTGTAAGAAGATCCATGGTAAAGATTTTTCAACCTACTGGGGAAAAAAAAGTTACAAAATCTTCACATGTCACCAGAATTGGGAATTAGTTAGTAGAACAAAGCAAAGTCTTCAGAAACAGCCTTAGTCTTGAGAGGAATAGTAGAGGACAAAGAATGGAGAGAGAGGAAGCAAGTTGGGGAAAGAAACAGCCAGAGAGAATAAAGCATTGAAAGAAAAGGAAAGGGAGACAATATAATGTTGCAGCACGTTCTAAGTATAGTCTCAGACTCCCTGTGGGCTATGACAGCAGTTATAACAGATATTAAGACTGGACATTCTGCAATTTAAAGTTACTTACCACAACCCACTATCAATCTCATAGGTCCAAATCTCATCATTAGGCAAATATACTTCATTGTCTTCAATAGACTAAAAACACAGAATACATAAAATTATGTTTATTAATTACAAAGTAACAGCTAAATAGTTCCTCAGGATGGGAAAACTGCAATGGAAATAGTACAAAACACAAAACCATAACAGCCTCAAAGATGACTTTTTCAACAGAAATAAAGATAGATCAAAAGAGAAGGGGAGGGGCTTCCCTGGTGGCGCAGTGGTTGAGAGTCCGCCTGCCGATGCAGGGGACACGGGTTCGTGCCCCGGTCCGGGAAGATCCCACATGCCGCGGAGCGGCTGGGCTCGTGAGCCGTGGCCGCTGAGCCTGCGCGTCCAGAGCCTGTGCTCCGCAACGGGAGAGGCCACAACAGTGAGAGGCCCGCGTACCGCAAAAAAAAAAAAAAAAAAAAAAAAAGAGAGAGAGAAGGGGAAGGGAGACATTTTCTAAGAGAAAGTGGGCAAACAATAAGGGTTAGAATACAAAATAGCAAGTACGTGAGTCTCAAGAAAAGACTCAGGGTAGTTAAACCTTACAAGGAATTTCAAGTAAGAGAAAATAGCAAAACAATAACATTACAGCAGAATACTGAAGAATGTGAAGCCAGGAAGAAAAGGAGTATCAAAAAAGGGCAATATACTTCGGGTGAAGGGAAGGAGTTAAGAAAGGAAACTTAAAGTATAATTTAGAGCACTGTATCACATACCTTGATTCACTAAACATATTTTTTGAGTGCCTACTATGTGCAAGCATAGTGTTAGATATTCATTAAATATAGAATCTAAGGATCAAGATAAATTTAGCTAGTCAAAATGACAACTCAGAATCTGAATAATCTCTAAAGAAGCTGATAACATAAACAGAATAGTACATTCTGATATTTATGATGAAAAGAAAAATTAGAATAATAATTTTCTTTATGTTAAGTTTTAAAACTTAGGGTTTAAAACAAATCCTTACATAAATCTATCATGATTACTTAGAATCTATAAAGTAACTCAAAAATAGCTAGTTGTAAAAGATGTCAGTTTAAGAATTTCTAAGACCATATGATGCATAAATTATTAACATGCTAAACAGAGTTAGCTAATTTCCTCATTGCTATGTTAGTTAAATTTTTAAAATACTATCTTGGCTACCAGGTCTGTCTACGCCTCTGTCTCTCTCTCTCTCTCTCAAACACACTCTCTGTCTCACATGCACACTCTCTCTCTCTCTCACACACACAGCAGAAAACCATCATATTAATTCCAAGGAAATTTCCACTCATGTCTGACTGAGGAAACCATATTACATGGCTAAGTAAATAACTGTTAAGAAAGGGAGATTATAATTGCTTGATTCTAAAGTTTAATGGCATCAGGCTCTAGAAGGCTCACGCATACACCATTACAACAGAAATAGTATGAAAATGGATCCTGTTACTATTCTGCTTAAGTCCCTTCCATGCTTCCCTGTTGCTCTCAGGATAGTCTAAAATCCTTATGATTCTGTGCTATATGGTACCTGCTATCCCTCCAAAGTTCTTCTTGCCTTTAGTCATTGTGCTCCAGTCTTCTTTCAGTTTCCTTCTTACTTTCTCAGCAATTTCACTCCTAAATTATCCCTTCTCTTCTACATCATCAAGTTTCCTTCTCTACCAGATCACTCCTGTCAATATCTAAACATGCCTTAGTATAACTCATCTTTAAAAAAAAAAACAAAAAACCCAACTCTCCCATAACTCTTTCTCTTATTTCTCTGCTCCCTTCACAACAAAATTTCCATGCTGAGTTAACTATAGTAGAAGTCTTCATTGCTTCACCTCTCATTATTTCATCAGTCCAGACTAATCAATCCAGACTCATTCCACTAAAACTGCTTTTGTCAAGGTCACCCTAAAGAAAGAGAACTAGTGAACTGATTCATCCAGAAACATAGCCCAGAGAGATGGAATATATAAAAAAGAAGAGACATGGAGGAAGAGAGAGAAGAACTAAGTCTAATCAGAATTACATTAGGATCTAATAGAGAGAATGAGGAAGAGGCAGTATTTGAAGAGACAAAGCCTGAGAGTTTTGCAAAATTGTTGAAAGTCATCAATCCTGAGATCTAGGAAGTCCTAACAAGTTCCAAGCAGGGTAAATAAACAGAAATCCATACCTAGATACATCATAGTAAAACTGTATATCAAAGAAAAAGATACACTCTTAAAAGCTGCCAGAGAAAAGAAGATCATCTCCAAATGAATGGCAACTAATGACTGACTTCTCATTAGCCAACAACTCAAGAATAAATCATATTAGCCAATGTGCTTAATGAAAGTAACGGTCCACCTAGAATTCTATACTCAGTAAAAATATCTTTTAAGAACCGAGGTAAAATAAAGACATTTTCAAACAAAAACTGAGACAGCTGGCCAATAACAGACCCTCACTTTAAGAAATTCTAATAGATGTTTTACTTCTGGCAAAAGACAAATGATCAAAATTAAACATCTGAAATGCAACAAGCAATAGTGTGACAAGATACTGGTAAAGTGTGTGGGTAGAGTTAAACATAAAAAAGGCTAAGCTTTTCCTGATGCCTAATTTAAGGCGGGGGCTGCGGGGAACAGGATAGGACTAACTAGAGAAGAGGGTGCTCAGATTTGAAAGCTTGTGAAGTATTTGAACCCTGTGGAAAGAAGTAAAATTATTAACTTGGAACTTTGTGAAGCATTCGTGCTGAAATAGAGTATCTACTAGATGACTAGAAATAAATCACCTAATTTCTTTACAAGCAAAGAGAAAAAAATGGAAAGATAACAAAAAACCCAAAAAATTTTCAAAATGACAAAGTTAAAGAAGGAGGAGGAGGAGAAATGAAGGGTGGCAAATATAAAACACATCTGATGAAAAAAGTGTATCAGAATTACTTTCAGTAGAAATAGGCTAAACTCTCTAGATATGTCAGACTAGATAAAAATAAAATCCAGCTATTTTCAGGTTATAAGACATATCTAAAATATAAAGATACACCAAGTTTCCATCAGAAGATATGCCGTGCAAATACTAACCAAAAGAAAACTAGCGTAGCCATATTAACACCAGCAAAATAGATTTTAAGACAAATAACATTACTACAGATAGAGGAGCATTACCAAATTATAAAATGTTCTATTAACCAGAAAGCTATAACAATTCTGAATTCATATACACCCAAAAAGGTAGCCTAAAGATATATATATAAAGTAAAATCTGACAGGATCATAAGGGGAAACTAACAAATCTACAGTTAGAGTGGGAGTTTTTTAATTTTAATACCTGTTACAGTAATTGATAGAACAGGAAGTAAAATAATAAAAAAAGGATACAGGAGATTTGAACACAACTAGCAAGATTAATAAAATGCACACATATAAAACACTCCCGTGAAGTGTTTGTGTATATATATACATATACATGCATGTATATGCACATATATAATTAGAATATATATTCTTAATGAGAACAAAGAGTATATTTATGAAAACTGATTACATGCTAGTCCTTAAAGCAAGCCTCAACATATTCCAAAGGACTGGTATTAGATAAGTAGAGACCACACTCTCTGAATATTAACACAATTAAGTTAGACATTAATAACAGAAAGGTAACTATAAAAATAGCATATTGTTAGAAATTTAAATTATTTTCCTAAACAACTTATGGGTCAAATAATAAATAATGATGGAAAGTATAAAATATTAGAACTAAAATGACAAAATACTGCTTATCAAAACTTGAGGAATACAGCTAAAGAGGTACTTAGAAGAAAATGTATAGCTTTATATACTGACATTAAAGAATTAAAAAGGCTCAAAAAGAGTAAGTTGAGCATCCAATGTCAGAAATTCAAGAAATAACAGCATAATAAACCCATAGAAAGTAGGAAGAAATAAGAAGGAGCAGATATTAATGAAAAATTTAAAAACACAACAGAGAGGATCAAGTAGACCAAAACTTGGTGTTTCTGAAGGCTGATAAACATGTGGCAAGACTATTCAAGGTGGATGGCGGGGAGGAAAGGAAGGCACCACTTGACAATTCTAGGAATGAAAAACGGGCCATATCTATAGCTACTACAAAGAATAAATAGTATTATGAACAACTTGAGTTTATGCCAATAAATTTTAAAACCTAAATGAAATGGATAGACTCCTGGGGCTGGAGGTGGGAGTGAGGAAACTTGACTCAAGAAAAAATGGAAAATGTGAATAATCCCACAGCTTTAAATAGATTGAATCAGAGATTTAAAACCTCCTCCACAAAGTACCAAACCCAGATGGCTTTAAAGATGAGTTCTTACAAACACTCAAAGAACAAGTAATTCAATCTTCCAAAAAATCTATTCCAGAATATAAAAGAAGGAACACTACCCAATCCACTTTTGAACATAGATGTAAAATTGCTAAAAAAGTAATTAGTAACTAGGATCCAGTGATGTATAAAAAGGGTAATATATTACACTAATTTGTACTTAATCCAAGGAATGGAACATTGGTTTAATATTACAAATATTACTTATTTTTTGTATAAGTCATCATATCAAGAGATCAAAGAAGAAAAAACAATTATCTCAGTATGATGCAAAAAAATCACTCTTGAAAACTCAACATTCATAAATTGAAAATCGGGTAAAAGGGCATGTCATTAATTTGAAAAAGGCCATCTACAAACAAACAAACAAGCAAAACCCTAAAGCAATCATCAAACTTAATGGTTAATAGTTGAAAACAATCACTCTGAGATTAGGACCAAGAAAAATTGGCTTCTATTTAACACTGTACTTCAGGTCCACCAGTGTAGTAAAGAAAAGGAAATAAAAAGGAATAAAGATTGGGATGCAAGAAACAAAACTGTCATCATCTGTAGATGACATAACTCTATATAGAAAATAAAAATATAATTAACAGATGAATTTTGAAAATTAATATAAGAAAGCTTGCCAGAATCAAAAATATTCAAGTCAACTGCATTTCAAAACACCAGCAACAATCAAGAAATTTAATTTTTGTAAAGAAATTTAGTTT